TAAAAGCTCTTCACCTGTACTTTAATCTTGCCCACTAGTTCCTGGCTACCCGTTTTTCCATCACCCACAGGGATTTTCCATTCAGATCGCCAACGGCCATTGCTAAAATAAAAAATAGAAACTCATGAAAGCCCATCACTAAATAGCGGACAAACAATATCATACCAGAAATTCTTAGGTTGGAACTGATGTGACTCTATGCACAAAGTGAAGTTACCATGACGAACGAACACGCAACCAACGCCTGATTTCGAATAATGTTCCTCAATGTATGCATCTAATTCCTATAAAGCAGAAGTACAATTAACGACTAACTAGAATAAGATAACCAGAACATTGTAAGTTACCTTTTGCAAAGCAGCGCGCCACGATTCCGAAGCACTCGATTCAGCTGGATGAGGTTGAATATCACTAGCTTCTTTGCGAAGATGATCATACTTGAAGGACTTCTTTGACGCATCATCTACGTAACGACCGCCACCAATATCGTTGAACGGCGTCACAAGAGTCTGAAAGAATTCTCAATGAACCTTAGTGTCCCTTATACTTAGATGCTTTCCCTCTTCTAGACTTTCACCGCAGAAAATCAAACCAATAAGTAAGGACACCAACTTTCAGACGGACCCCCTCCTGAGATGATTTTTTTTTACCTTACAAAGTGGTCCCAGGACAACTGGGAATGAGGATGGAATATGAGCACTGCTAATTTTGTGTGGATAAAACGGCACCAGAAACCAGTTACTCCAATTCAACGAATTGTTTGTCTTTCCACTCTTAGTCATAATCTGATGTGCTGCAGAGGTAACTGCAGCACATCAGATTATGACTAACATTGTTGGTTCTAAAAACTAGAAACATGAGTAATTTGAAGCGCAGTGGGGACCACACAGAGGCCAAATGAGTATTGCTACGTCCATACCATAGGATCGATCAACAAAGAGTCAACGTTTACTAATGTATTGATTAAATTGAAAAGACTGACTGATACATCGAAAACGACATGGAACAGCTGATTTGATTACTTCTCCGTTCGCAATTTCTACGTCACGAACATAATAAAATTACAAGCCAAAATGTATCCCTTACCCTACTGATATATGTTGATGGTCAGCTGTAACAATCCCAATATTTAACACGTGATTTTATTGTATTCAACCAGTTTTTTTAGTGTTGCGCTAAACAATAGCTCATTTATTGTAAGACAGACATTCCACCATATCACAGCCATTAGGTTCTTATAAGAAATAGAGTCGATATCCAAAATTTGGGGCAGGCGTGTCAGCGAAAAATGACGTGCACTTGATAGAATTTGCGTGAAGTTATACGAAGAGTGCTTCACTGATACCCAGCGAACTATGTTAAAAACAGCTTATCCGCATAGCTTCAATCAAGTGCACGCCACTTCCGGTGACCCGCCTACCCCAACTATCGGGTATCGTGTATAGAACTAGGAAAATCGTTGAATATACTTGGATACACTCCAAGACATATTTTTCGCCATACTTATTGTCTAGGAAGAAGAAAGAAAGCCTGCACGAAAACGTACATTTTGATTACTTTCGAAATGAAGTGCTGGTCAGCAGGTAGCTTGCTCTCTAGATATAGGTGTGAAAACAATGCTCAATGTTCGCATGAATACTGGAATGCAGGGCTACTTCGGCCTACTCAGCATCTGCATTCACTTGCGGTCTAAGCACCAGTGTTCAAGGGATTTTGTCATAGTTTTCATTGGAAAAAGTTCCAGAATGTGCTTCACAATTAATATTGTTGAATTGTCTCAGATCCCTCGGTACGGTTTGGTTTGTTCAAAGAGTCAGCAATAGCAATGATAACATTATGCATGCTTTTGCTTCTGTCCAAAGCGCCATTAATAATGTTTAGTCAGTTTGAGCTTTTGTATGAATGTGAGTGAATTTCATGCTGATCCCACTTTTTTGTCTTGTCAGCGCACTGCAGTGTCACCAACCAAAATATACGCGATTTCTGCAGTGAATACACTGCTACGTTGAGAAGTGATAATTTTTATCCACTCATTGAGATTACGTCGAGGAGCACACTGCCACCTCACAATGTTCGAGCTTTCTGCCACCAAAACCCCCAACCTCCCGCTTTTTTCCGAGCCATTATAGAACAGCGAGAACTTGCCGCGGATATCGCCGTCAGCTGCAGTGAGCTCGCAAAAAGTCGACTCCCTACCGCGTTTTCTACTTCAAAGATGGGTGACTGGAAAGGTTCAGTATCTGGCTTCGAGAAGGAGATTTCTACCAAGATGTTGTTACTGTATAAAAATCAAACAACAGATGGTCGAATATCCCATGAAATTAGGAGTACGAGCTGGTTCACCATCAATTCAGCAACTCTAAAAGTGATAAACGAAACCGGGCAATATCGTCGACGGAGCCGTTGTAGCTAGCGAGGCGGCCTGGACTGTCATGTGGTCACAGCCGCTGTATTGCGATGCCAAGAGCCTATCAGCATTCCGTGCAATGCAATGAGAACTATTTGCGACAGAAAAAAGATGCCACTACAGCACGACATCTGCGGCTGTATGAAAATTAGTTTAAAGGCAGCGATTACGATAAAGGAGGGAGCGCATCGGGGAAGCATATGCACCACACGAAGCAGTTACTTGGCTGCCAAGGAAGCGAGTGTGGCGCTTTCACGACGAAAGGTGCGCTGGTTGCTGAGCAGGACTTCGAAAGCACTCCGCCCCCAAAAGCGATCCGCCCACTAGTTTAGTTGGTGATTTGGACGAGCTGCGTTGCCAGCAGCGGCACAACTGGAGCAACTCGATTGGAGCGTGGTTTGGCATGTGCCACCAAACGCGTTGCGTGAACTCGTTCATACGTCCGATTTCTGAGCTGTTACCTGTTCATGAGTGAAAAAGAACGGCCAAAAAAGGGGGTCCCGTTTTGCGTTTTCTTGACGGATTTCTCAGCTTTTTCGCCACTGCGTGCCATTGAGCACCATCACGTCTCCTTTGAACCCTTCTCGAATCTATCGTAATCGCTGCCTTTAAGATTATCACTGCCTAACTTCGCTTCAAGGAATGATAAGGGCAGTCAGAACATTCGTTTCGCCCAGTCAGAACATTCGTTTCTCCCCTACGTCGCAGGCAACGTTCTGGGTGGAGATATCTGAGCTTGTCAACAAATCCTCAGATTACGAATCGAATCAAAGTGAATCAAAGTTACCAAAACGTTATAGCAACGATAGAGAACGCAAATACCTGTTTCTCAACTCCTTCTAACTTCACTGGAGCGAATTGACTCTCATTGTATTTCGTAATAGCCTGCGCACATCCTTCCTTTAGCAGTTGGTCATTGTTCAATAACATACGAACAGCATTAAAAACCTTAACCAATTAGGAGTGAGATATACTTGATAGAACAATTAAGAATTCGATTATACGAAAACCTTCTAATCCAGCAACATACCTCATTGAATTCACCAGGTGGAGCATGTTGTAGAAGGAGGTAATAAAAGTACCCCGAGCGATTCGAAATTGTGGTCGAAAGGCAAGGCCTTGAAAGTGTTCGCCGTTGCGGGGCCGTAATTCATATCTGTGCTTTGAACCAAGAGATCCACACATGCGCGTTCCGGCAAAAAATCAGAAAGATATCCCAAAGAAGAGTCGAGCGAGGCGCCAGAGCATTCGTTGCTTTACATTATTCCATACCCCGAAACTCTATTAAAAAGTCCTCCCCTCTCTACAAGTCTTTGCGCGCGGTACGAAATACTAGGCAATCATTGAGCGAGTAAGCTAGTGGACCTTTTTCAGATCATTGCGAGCGTAATAGGCAAAAAAGAAAACCCGTCCACACACACTTGCACGTTGAATCCTCGATTCTACCGCGCCACATTTGCCTCATAACTTCATTCGAAAAAGCGCTTGGCAGATTTGAAAGCGGCGTCGGTTTTGCAGCGTTCCTCAGAAAACGCATCTACCGAGTGTGGTGCTACCCTTTTATCATATGCCATTCTCGACCCAATCGTCCGTACCTGGTTATAATAAATTGGTGAAGAAGTATATCTACAACACGACAAATGCCACAATTTCCTCCATTTACGCATATTTCCCTTACGTTCCAACCAAAACCGAAAAAATCCATAAAAAAGCTCCCCAATTTCTGCAACACGACCTCGATTTTCCCTCCACGATCCTCTCCGAAAACCCGATTACCGGATATCCACACCCATTGTCACCATCACCAACCACACTAAAAACCTCCAAATACAGATTCCTTTCCAAATCCTTATTCAAATTCATTGCCGGCTTACACAAAACTCCAAGTTTGCCTCTCTCACCCCTCTCGCTCATCGCTTCGTTACTGTATACTCACTCTACCGCATTACATTCCATGGAATTGTAAAATCTAGCCCATCTTTCTTTCTTTAGAGCACTCCCTCTTTTCTTTGAAAGCTTATCCGTGTGCAGATGATTGTATACCCACGTGACGTCATGTGAAAATTGTGTTTTAAATGTATTGAATTCTTCATCCCAAATCTGATTGATGATGTTCGAACACTTGTGTTGGCGCAAACGAATGTTGTATGGGCAGCCATCTCAATGAAAATTTTCAAGTTGTTATTCTTGGTCGTCATTTATAAACGTGTTTGTCACGCAAAATACGAAACAATACACTCATGTGAACAATCGAATTCATAAGAACCTGCCCTTCTAAATCTGTGGAAGCATCAGTCCTAAAATGATTACTACGTCTGCCTCCTGTCTCATGTACAGCCTTTACTGGATAGGCCAGAAATATTCCCAATTCGAGCGGCGAAATTTCTCAAAAAAAAACCGATTAAATGAAGAAAAATAGGTCCAGTGTTTTCTAATGTTCAAGAACGGAGAGAAGAGGTCCCAGAACTCCAAGTGGAAACAAGGTTTCCTAGCGCTGAACCGTTAGAAACGCGGAGCAGAGCACGTTAGACTTCAAAACTCACGACGAATATTTCCATTGTTATATTCGTATTGAATCCCCTTCCTTGTACTGGGTCCTTCTCAGAATGAGGTGTCTGAACTTGTCACTGGTATGGAGCTACAGTACCCGCAAGATGAAGCAAAGCTCGTCTGAGGAGGCTGTGCTACTAAACCTAACTGTGCGTTACGACAATCTTCATGCTAGAAGTAGCGTCGCAGATGCCCTCTTTTGAGGAAGAATGTCCCACACGATCTTCACGATGGCATGTTCAAAGACGGCAAATGTGGGGCAGTGATTTTTCGGGGAGACCAATTCGCCACATGCTAGCTAATCTGCATTACGGAAACACATTCCAGACCCAGGTGTAGGGCAAATCAACCAAGAATCAAGTTCAATGGGCACTTATGACACAGGTCAGAAAAGAATCTCCAAGTGATAGAATTGGGCGGGGGCAAAAACTGGGCTTTCCTTACCATTGCCCTATTACGAAGGGATGCATGCCTTCGAATATAGGTGAAAAAGAAAGAAAGACATGGAAGTGGAGTACCGGCGAGAGACATGCGCTCGGACAAGAAGGCGATTGGCAAAATTTGTATAGCATAAATGCGGTGAGTGGTAAAGTTGTCGTATGTTCCAAACAGCCGAACAAGCAAGGCTTCGCATCAAATCCCAACTTCACATGAATTAGGTAGTCACAGTATGATGATGATTAGCGCGGGTACTAGAGCATTTAGAGAAACACAGCATCATATCGCTCAGACAGCATGGTTTCCATAGAGGAAGATCAAGCTGTTACTGCTATGATTCAGTCGCTTAATCATTCGGATAACTTCGTACAAAATACTTGGACGAAGGGAAGGCTGTTGACGTTATTTATATAGACTTCTGCAAGGCCTTCGACAGGGTACCTCACAAGAAATTACTATCTAAAATGAGACTCGTGGGTATTCACCCGCGCATCGTTTCTTGGCTAGACTCGTTCCTAACTAGAAGGCAATTTTCTGTTCGTATCAATTCCTCATTTTCATCTCTTAGGATTGCTAAAAGTGGGGTCCCGCAGGGCGGGGTTCTGTCACCCGTGTTGTTCAACATTTATATGCATGATCTGATGTATCTTCTTGAGAGGACTAAAATTGGTGTTTGTGCTTTTGCCGACGATCTTAAACTTTACTATTCTGTTACCAGTGAAAAGGATGCTGAAGAACTACAACGTGCTTTGGAGGTCGTTGTGAAGTGGTCGAAACAATGGAGCCTACCCCTCTCTGAGGCGAAAACTAAAGTTATTCATCTCGGTGGAAGCAATAACCGATACAACTACCATATCAATGGTGTGCCCCTAGTTGTGGTCGAACAAGTATCTGATCTCGGTTTCCTTATTACCAGCGACCTTAGCTTTGATGCTCACTGCGAAGCGATTGCGAAAAAGGCAACTGTTGTTATGTACAACTTGTTCAGGGCCCTGACAACCAAAAGCGCTGCCGTACTACTGCGCGCTTACAAAACCTTTGTCAGACCCGTGGTCGAATATGGCACTCCGGTGTTCAATCCATATAAGATTAAGTCAATTAAGAGATTAGAGGCCGTCCAGAACAGTTTCACAAGAAAACTAATGATTAAGGTCATCATGTCCGTGCCTTTCTTGGGAACTTCGGCCACATTTGAGGGGGTTAAATGGTTGCTGGGCAATTGTGTTTTGTACTTGTGTTATGCCAACTAGATTTCGAGAAATTAATATGGCCACCACGAGTACGAGTAGACGCTCATCTTTTTACTGACGTTCAACTAACAGCAGGGCGTGAGCTCACTGCATCCCGCATCCGGTACATCATACACGGCGAGTCCGCTGGTACAGTTGGTTTCCCATAACTGAGTTGGGTCCAGTACCAGAGTCCTGAACAATGGCTTTTGAGGGAAAGACAATGCGCTTGTCGAGGGCATTATTTCACGCTCTTCACGCGGATGCTGAACCTCTCGCCAGCACGACCTGCGAAGCCAGATCTGTGCTGTGCTTTCCGCGCATCCATTCACTCTCGACACTACTCTCACACGGTAGAGAGCCATGGTCAAGGAATTCCTCGACCGTTATTCACCCTGCCGTAGTATTCTCGACGTTCTCTGACGTCAAGAATACTGTGCGCGGTGGATCGAGTAGCTAACGAATCAAAAGCTTCAGACTATCTCCAGGCCTCTGAAGAAGACGAAGCTGTCGAAACGTCACGTCAGGACTAGTCAATAAAGATTCCATCTTAAAAACCTCGTTTTACTGAATTCGATGAGGATTTTGGGATTCATGTATGATCAAATCCCTTCAGTGAAACAAGGAATAAGAACTTTGGTCTACAATCATTGCAGTTTAGGCGGAAACGTAATGATTTATTAATGTTCCGTAAAATTTTGCTGGGTGCAACAAGCATGGCACCTAATGAACTTTGGTCTCTTAGATCCTCTGTTACAAGAGGTGGTAGGACGAAAGTTGATGTGGGCCGAGCCAGACTAAATTCGTATAATGTATGAGCCCGTGAATCTTTAAGGCCAGCATTAAGAGTGGTCCCCTGTTTCAATAAGTCCACCTACCCTACCGGGCGCCACACCCAAAACAGGAAGCCAAAAGTTGTGCAAGAAACGTACGCCTCCATTAGCATCTCACACTATGTTCAAAAATTATTTAGATAGTTGCTTGAGCCCGTGAAATCCTTGGTTCCTAGTTCCTTACCATACACTTCTCCTCTCTATCCTTTGCTGTTGCTGTTCCATGTCAACTTTTTTTTTTTCTTATTTTCGTGTTTTGGTTCGTCTACCTCATCATGTTTTAAGATGCAGAACTCGTTGGACTTATCTCGTTCCGTTTTTTTTTATGTGCACGAACATAGCTCGTGTAATAAATAAATAAATAAATATATATATATATAAATGTGCTTGTGTTCCATAAAACGGTTTCACGCAAATACATGAACAATACACTCATGTGAAAAATCGAATTCATAAGAACCTGCCCTTCCAAATCTGTGGAAGCATCATTCTTCAAAAATAATTACTACGTCTGCCTCCTGTCTCATGTACAGCCTTTACTGGATAGGCCAGAAATATTCCCAATTCGAGCGGCGAAATTTCTCAAAAAAAAACCGATTAAATAAAGAAAAATAGGTCCAGTGTTTTCTAATGTTCAAGAACGGAGAGAAGAGGTCCCAGAACTCCAAGTGGAAACAAGCCTTCCTAGCGCTGAACTGTTAGAAACGCGGAGCAGAGCACGTTAGACTTCAAAACTCACGACGAATATTCCCATTTTATTACATGTTTGGTCCCCTTCCTGTATGTTCCTTCTCCAAAATGAGATTTGTGTCACTGGTATGGACTACAGTGCCGCAATGACTCGTCTTAGGAGCTGTGCTACTAGACCTAATTGTGCCGTAGCGACAATCTTCTGCTAGAGTACGGTGAATGCCCCTCGTTTTAAGGAAGATGTCCGATTTCACGATGCATGTTCAAGACGGGCAAATGTGGCAGTGATTTTTCGAGACCATCGCCACAAGTGCTACTAATCTGCATTACGACACATCCAAGACCCCAGTGTAGTGAAATAACAAGACTCAAGTTCAAGATGGGGCCACTTGGACACGTCAAAAGATCTCCAGTGATAGATGGGGGAAAACTGGGCCTTCCTTTACATTGCCCTATTCTCAGGGATGCATGTTCGATATATGGTAAAAGAAGAATGAAGTAGTACCGGAGAGACATGCGCTCGACCAAGAAAGGGATTTGAAAAATTTGAACAGCATAAAGGGTGAGTGGTAAAGTGGTAGTTTCCAGCTACCCCAACAAGATAGGCTTCGCATTCAAACCCAATTCAATGAATAGAGTTAAGTATGTATGTGATTTATGCTTGCAGAGCCGAGCTGCTAAATCCTGCCTCTATTCATGAATACAAGTCTATGAAGGGGGAACCGTGGTTCAGTTGCTTGCCGTCGCCTTCTCATGTGACAGTTGTAGCATTCGTAGTAAACCGGCAAAGCCGGGAATCATGACCAATTGAGGCTGTAACGGTAAGGCGGGTCAATCAACTTGCGTGAATAGTTCAAATATGCAAGGTTACAGTAACTCGGTGTAACAGTAAAGTAGGTTAGTGTCCGCCGGCTGTCACTCCAACTCTTTAGCACTCTGATTCGTGAATCTCGGAGTGCTGAAAGGTTGAGCGAGCTGCACAGGTTCAATGTGTCGCCAGAGGGTAAGGTGTCGCGTCACACTCCACGCAAAAAAGCGCAACAATATGCCTGCTGTGTCAAACAGGTTTGGATGGTGGGATATTCATTAGCCTAACGTTTCGACAAATTTATCGTTTTCAAAGGCCTGAAAGCGTTGATACA